ACCCCAATGAATTGAGTGGGATGAACATTTTCCTACATCATGTTGGTGTACCATGCAACTGTACAGAGATCAACAGATTGTTCACAGTATATGTTCGTCTCAGAAGTTTTTGCTACCTTTATACAAGGTGTACAGTCTTCCTTCTACAGCAGACATCCTACAATGTCCTCAAAAACATGTGGAGTTTTTAAGGCCTGCATTAGTTTATTTGCATGAATTTGCACATCAACAGCTTGGAGAGGCTGTCATATGACAGAAAAGGTGTTGCTGGAAAGAAGTTCTGATAACTTTGAGGCTAGCCACAAAACTACTAGAGATGGCCTGACATTTGATGCAGTGGAAACTATGGATGGAGATGCATAGCTTACTGACACATCTGACATAAGGGACCTCACTGCATCAGTTGTATGGCTGGATCTAAGATTTCCAGGATCTGGGAAGTCCATTAACCATGGACCGGTCAGTGAATGCCTATCCGACCTTAGATGTCCTAGTTCCAGCAGAGGAGAAGTCAGCAGATCCAATCTGACTGACAGAACTAAGCTTGTAGGTGGTTCAAAAACTGAAGATGTCCCTGGCATCTTCCTCAGCCCGTGTAAAGAAGTTCTGGTAGTTCATGAAGCATGACAGCCATTCGTCAGGTGTCCAGCCAGTGGGTGCATGACCACCTTGCAGAAGACTCATCAATTATGTATCCACCTCTTATGGAACCAATACATACTGAAGCCAAAAAAGGTGTTTATGGAGCTGAAGTCAATTCAAGGGTTGGCTGGGCTCCAGGTAAATGTTTTAGAGCTGAGGGATAAGGACCAAGCTGTGTTTATGAAAAACTTGCTAGTTACTGTCACCAACAGTAGGGTAGCAGCCCATAGTACTTCAGTAAACCAGAAGTCATCAACAACGTATGCAGCCAAGAAGTATAAGGTGAATGAAGGGACCTCTACCTTAACAGTAGGTAATGTGAGACACCACAACAGCTGCAAAGAACATCCTACCAATTATAAACATCATAATCCAACTGACTTTGCAGCAGATCCTGGTGCTGAAGTGGTACTGCCAGTAGATGGTCACAAAGTGGATAAAGACTTGGACCCTGAACATCAGGGAGGAGGACTGGTTGTGTTGGAGAGACACTCCAGCATCCCAACTGGAAGAGGAAGTCTGCTAGGTAGGTACATAGTTGGTGCAGACTATGAAAGCCTTGACCGGAGCCCAATCCAAACCAATCATGGTAGGAAGTTAGGTTAAAAGTATATTTCACTCCCCGAAGGGAAATGAAATATAACCTGGGGCGTTAAAAACTTCCGATTCTCTTCACCCCACTTCATAAATAGTATTAAGAGGCCAAGACTTTTAAGAATTAAATGCTTACATGAGTGAAAGTTTGCATGGTTAATTTTCCTAATGACAAATTTACAAGCATTGGGTAGATCTGAGAGGAGACAAGGAAAAGAAGAGAAAGGAGGAGACCTTCGCTGAGTTGATTGATGTTTCCGAAAGTTTTTCTCTCGGCGAGACCCGTGTGTTGGTAGACCACTTGACTAAGGAATTCATGATGACAGGCATCGGAGAGCTGAGTGGTGTAGGGCTGAGCAGGGAGATTCAGATTGAGTGCATCCGTTTTTGTCTAAAATACTGAAAGTAAGATAATTTAAGAGTAGTTGGCTAGATTTTAAGAATTCAGATTTTAACATTAATAGTGAACTTTGATATTACGGTCCATTTCAGGGCTGTGATCGAAGGATCCAAAGCATAAGGAACATTTTGTTGTGGGTGGAAATGGGAGTACCCAGAGGATACCCATTTTCACTGATAGAGTGAACCAGAGACCATTTTAGTGGTTTTGCTTTCAAGATTGAGGTGAGAGGAATTGGACCTGGTGCTTATCATTGGGTTTCTATTTATTTTTTATATATTCCTTTCCTCATATATTTGTGTGGATATATTTTATGAGATAGGTATCTCTGTATCTTTCTTTTAGTTTTGTTCTTTTTAGTTATCTTTGTATTATGTTGAGATTGTCATTCTTTGTTAAAGGACTAATTTTCTTTTGACATTGTACTGCAATGTTTATAGTGTTTTACGGCGAGTTTACTTAAAATGTGCTGGTATTTGTTGGTATACATTTTGCTTTTCATAACTGTGATTTTTGTTGTGTCATTATCTTGTATTCTTTGTTGTTTTGGATGTATGTGGTATGATTGACTTTTAAATGCATCTTGAGATGTTACTGTTAAAGGGTTTCTGGCTGTGTATTATATTCTGCATTTAATTTCATTCATTCATTATTAAAGGATGTGTTTCTTGCAATACAAAATTATTGATCATTACAGTACTTCATTTATTATGTGATGCAAATGTGTTCCTTTTATTTGTTAAATTGTTATTTAATGTCCAATTCTATCATGGTAAAAAAAGATTTTGGGGAACTATCAATGTTAAAGAAAGTGTCACTATATATCTTTTGTATTTTTCATAGTTAAAGGATTTACTTTTGTTTTGTGATATAGTTCATTTGGATTGTGTTAATGATAAAGGGTCTGTTTTATGTGTTTGATTATATTGTATCAAGGGTTTTGTTTGTACTTTTCATCATTGCTAAAGGATTTCATTATAAATTTTTACTGTTAAATGTTTTCTATTAGTGTGTGTACTTGCATCAGTGTTAAAGGGGTTTATTTTTACATTCATGTATGATTTCATTGTTAATGAGCTGTTTCTATGCATAATTTAGAAGTACCTGACTTTCTTTGTTAAATGTTTTTTTTTCCTGTATTTTAGTATATTTCAATGCTAAAACCAATTTCTTTCAAGTGTATTTATATAATGTAGTTTCTTTATTTAAAGGTTGTGAGATCTGTGTGATGTGTAAATGTTTTCAGTGGCAACAAAAACTTAACACACTCCTTGATATCAAAATCATAGATAAGGCTTTTATCAAACTTTAGTACTGTAAAAAATATATCAATTCTAACCTGTCACCTATCAAAAATATAAAACTTATCAATTTTGTTTCATTCCCTTTTAAGCCAGAAATTGCCAATAAAAATATCAGCCTATCTAATAATTTCATCATTGAAGTAAAAACTGCATTGAAACCTTCACATAAGATTAACACCTTACTACCTAACCTGAAAGAATCCCTACTGAAGGAACAAAAGCAAAGCATATGTAGTATCCCATGTTAATATAGAAATAAATATATAGGACAAACATCATATTCCTTGGAAATAAGATGTAAGGAACATCAAGGTCACAAGCATAGAGATGAATTCCAGATACCTGCTTTAACATACCATCAATTTGAAACACAGCACAAAATACTTTGGGATGAATTTCTTTTCCTACACAAACCAAAAGCTAAAAAAGAAAGAGACTGTTTAGAAACTATAGATATCATCAAAACGAACAATCTCTCGGTAAACCATGATAATAACATGATGATAACATCAGCCATATTTGGCAAGGTCTGTTCATCACTCATACACTTGACTTTTACCTATAATCTTGTCACCTGTTGAAATTATTTATGTCACATGTAATCTTTGTGTCTTTTTAATTATATATATAAACCCTTTATTGCTTATTACAGATCATACCTGAATGAGACAGAACAATGTTCTGTTAAAACATGTAATATGTTTCACCATCAATAAACTCTTCCTTATGTTTATAAATCATTGTTTGCTTACTTATTATTGCATTACTAACAAGATTCAACAATTCATGAACCACCTAATCAGAGAACATCCCACAATACAATTCACAAGAAAAATAAAAAAATTCCAATTCCTAAATGTGAGGGTTACCAAGACACATAAATCTCTATATCACGGGAATTTATAGAAAATCAACAAATGCTTGTAAATATCCTGACAATAGATCAAATCACCTCAACAGTGAAAAGAACAGCATCATAGTCTAGTTTACAGAATGAACAGGGATTGTAATACTGAAGATACTAAAAACAAGGAAGTGAAAAACATTTTTAAAACCCTTATTGACAATAGATACCTAGAACATTTGTTAAAGAGGACAAACACCAATAATAATCTGAAAAAAGTACAGATATACAGCCATGTTCCCCTATGACAATTGTCTCTATGAAAACATACAGAAAATATGTAAACAAAAGTCAGAACAGTATTCAGAAGCCACAACACAATAAAATCACAGTAAGAACACATCAAACCACCTAAAAACCCAATGGAGAGCAAATACATTTACAATACCCCTTGTGAATGTGGATTACAATATAGTGGAGAAACAAAATGACTAACAAAAGGTACAGTTCAGGAGTATATCATACATAGACTCTGTAATACTGATCTATATGCAACAGTTCTTAATGCAAGAGAAGATAACATGATAAATTGGAATACTACTAAAATAATGGTATGAGATAAATACACACGAGAAAGAGAAAAAGAAGCTTTCTAATTCAAGTGACTAATAACACACCTAGTCAATCTAGAATCCAAGTCACCAAGGCCTGGATACCTCTTTGGTAACATTCAAATAAATTAGCTGATAAAGTCCTGACTGGGGAGACTCCAAATAGGTAGATAGTGTACTAGTCTTTGTTTCAAAAGTTCCCTAGCCACTACCAACCAAAACATAATCCTCGTCAGGACTTTCCTAATGATAACAGCAGATTAGCAGCCAAAATGCAGGATAAAAACTAGTCTGTAACTAGTATCTTGTAATTAAAAAAAATAGTAACTAATTAACATTCTCATTCAGGTTATTGTACAGGCTACTAAAAATGACAACAATTGATATTTGATTGCCATAAGCTTACTGTATGTACTTATTTAAAAATATCTTACAAGACTAATATCTAGTAATAATAATATTGGCAAATGTCTGTAACTGACATCGTTATAAAACTTTCAACAAGCTCCTATAGAAAATGTACACTCACAAAAAAAATACAAAAATGAACTTTCAAACGTTTCATATAATATTTGAACAACAGTTTTCAAATATGAATAACAAACCTGTGGTATGATTGTCAGATTTGAACGTAAGTCATGAAGTCCAATATGAGAAATGTCTACACCATCAATAATTATGCTTCCCCCAGCTGGCTCAATTATTCGAAACAGAGACAATGTCATAGAAGATTTTCCAGCTCCTGTTCTACCTACAATACCAACCTATAAGTAAAGCAGTTTACATTATCTGTAGCTTACAAAAATGTTTTACTACAAACAAAATTAATATTACATCTAATATAGATATATATATAGGTCATATCCCATTTATTTATAACTTGTTAGCACAAAATGTTTATGTACATTGTAGGGCAACAGATACATTACATCTTATAATCATAAAATACATAAGAGATAAATGCAGCAAAATTATATCACTGTAAAAAACAACACAGAAACAGAAACAAATGTTAACATTTTCCTAAATTGAAAATGTATTTCCAATAATACTTACCTCCGCTGACACTTATAGCTATTATTTGATCACCAGGGTTTCATCTTTTCCCACCTAAGCATTGGTCTGATTTTTTCT